GCCCGTAAGATTTGCAAGCTTATTTGACGTAAATTTGTACTTCGTATTGAAAAATGTACATGTTTGGTTTGATTATTAGGTTTGAAAATTATTATAAACTATTTTAACTTTTTTTAGTAAGTTACCATATACTACTCTTACATTTTCTTATTTAATTCATATATTAACTATCATGAATTAATATTCTTTTTTATTTTTAAAATTTATAACTTTTATATTTGTATTTTATTATTTATGATAGATCAAAATAATCATATTTTTACGTTCTTCGATTTGATATCCATATTGCATATATAAAATAAAAAGTAATTTCATCTATCTTTATAAACAAAACTAATTTTATTATCAAATAAAATAAAAAAGTATCAAATAAAATTATAATTTATTTTACATTAATAATAAAAATCTAATTGATGAATGCACTACAAATAAATCAAGTTAATCTGTTTTTTCCATATATTTTACATATAATATAAAAATTCAGTATTATATAAAATAAATCATAAAAAATATTATAAAATATTATTTCTCGATTTAAATAGGTTATATAAGGAAATAAATGTTATTATGTTTTTTAAAATAATAAATATAAAGGAATATCATAACTAAATATAATAAAATAATTTTACGTTTCATAAATTTAGAAAAACAATATATTTATGCGTAAATTAATATTCTAAATTATATAAAAATAAAATACCTGAAAATAATAAACAAGAGACACTGACTCTATAAATATAAAATATAACCGCGATGCAATATAACTTATTTAGTTTTAGAAAAATTAGAAATAAATATAGGCTTAATTGCAAATAAAACCATGACCTTTTCGAAATTTGCAATGATATGCATCACTTTTAAACTTGGCAAATATATACACCACTTTTACAATTTTTTGCAATTGTATGCAACGGGCCCAATTTCGGGCTTTATTGCTAACGTGACGATTTTCTGGCAATTTCTGTTGATATGGATGCTGATGTGGGGATTTCTGCTTATATGGCGCTGATATGGAGGTTTACATCAATTTCGGGCTTTTATTGCTAAGGTGACGATTTTCTGGCAATTTCTGCTGATATGGATGCTGATGTGGGGATTTCTGCTTACATGGCGCTGAAAAAATAATTTCTGTTGATATGGATGCTGATGTGGGGATTGTTGATATGGATGCTGATGTGGGGATTTCTGCTTACATGGCGCTGAAAAAATAAAACTTTGCTGGGGTTCGAACTTGTGACCCCTAAGTTGTATATTAACATTGTAACCACTACACCAATCCAAGTTGTATATCTAATTCAATAGCATTTAATATATATAGACATAACGTAATTATAAGTAAATTAAATTTAAAAGATACTGTAAATTATATTTAATAATATTAATAAGATATAAATTTATAATAATTAAAATATAATAAAATAAATTGTATATATTAAATGAAAAAAAATTAAAATAAAGTAAGATAAAATTTATTACAGTAGAGTGCATTAAAATTAAATTGCATTTAAATATATTTATATATTTATTATTTAATTAAAATAAAACTATTTTTATAAATTTGAAAATGAAAAATAATAATGATAACCAGTTAAAATAAAATAAAAATAGTACAATATTATTAAATAAAGTATAAAAAATGGTGTATTAAAATAAAATAAATAATAAAATAAATCAAATAACTTATTATGAAATAATATATTAAAATAAATAAAAATCATAAATGAAAATAATAAAATTAAAAATATTATTTCTAATATTTTTAATATAATATTGATAAATAATTTGTTAAAATAATATCAAAAAATTTAATAAATTATTTATTAAAATAATCTCATATAATTTAATAAATGAATATAGTAAAAATATATAATTTGAAATTACTATAATAAATAATTTATTAAATTATTTGAGAGTATTGTAATAAATGTTTTATTAAATTATTTATTAAAAAATAATATAATGAAATAATTTTTTTATTTTATTATATTCATTTAAGATTTTTATTAATTTTAATTTATTATTTCATAATAAGTTATTTGATTTATTATTTTATTTATTTCATTTTACTTTACTATTTTTTATACTTTATTATCTTATATTATCTTATTTCTTATTTTATTTTAATAAATAAAAATTTAGTTTAATTTTAATGTACTCTAGTATGATAAATTTTATCTTACTTTATTTTATTTTATTTTTTTCAATTAATATATATAATGTATTTATTATATTTTAATTATTATAAGTTTATATCTTATATAATTAAATAAAATTTACATTATATTTTTTTAAGTAACGATATGTCTATATATATTAAACGCTATTAAATTAGACATACAAGTTGTATTTGTGTAGTGTTAATAGTGCCAATTTAAAAACACAGAGGCACAGGTTTGAATCACAGTCTTGTTTTACTTTTTTCCCCATTTCAGCGCCATATCAGCAGCCATGTCAGCGGGAAATTGCCATGCCAGCAGAAAATCTCCCCGTCACCAGTCACGTCAGCATTAAAAGCCCGAAATTAGGCTCGATGCATACAATTGCAAAAAATTGTAAAAGTGGTGTCTATATTTGGCAAGTTTAAAAGTTATGCATATAATTGCAATTTTCGAGAAGGTCATGGTTTTATTTGCAATTAAGCCTTAATTATATGGAGTTGTAAATAATTTTTTTTGGCATATATAAATTTAAAAATATATTTTTTAAAAAATTAGTATAGAAATAGGGAAATTTTTAATTAATTATCACTTTGTTAGTTATTTATTATGTTATATATTCGTTATATAATTTCACACTAAAAATATAAATTATTTATTTGGGACCCTTCAAATATGTTGCCCCTGGCTCTTTGGTAGAATTATTTGATGTTGAGGAAGAGACGTCAAAGGGGCTTTTTGCTCAAAAAAAAGAAAAGACAAGCTCGAATTTTTAATTTTTTATTGCACAAATGCTAATATATTTAAGTACTCGTGTACTACACATATATCATACTAGTATAGATGTTATTTTGAGAAGTAACACAATAATTAAAAAAAAAATCTTTTCAGTTTTAACCCTATTTATTGAAACTTATTAACGTGTGTATGTATAACTACTCCATTAAGCAACACAATTAATGATGATTAGTCCTCGTCGTCTGTGGAATAAAAATAGTAAAAGGCTTCAAAATCGTGGACCAAACACAAAGAAAAAAGTAACACAAAGAAAGGAAAAAAAAAAGGCTTTTAAGAGTGAAAAACTCGTTTTCCACATCTTTCTTCCTCAATCTGTTATAACTCTATTTCTTCAAAACCTTACAAATTTAGAGCCAAAATTTCAACAATAAGGTAAAATCAAAATTCACACTAACATTTCAAATTTTGTGAAACAACACCTAAAGAGGTCTATAATATGGATACGGATAATTTAATTAAACCACACTTTTTGAATAAAGATTTGCAATGACTTCAAATATTCCGATCGATTTGAACGAACCTTCTTACGACGTAGAAGATGCAGTCCCGAGATCTTCACAGAACATTATAATCAAGCTCAATGTTGACGACAATACGAAAATTGGATACTTTGTTATCGAGCTCGACTTAATCAGTTTTTCGAAGATGATGACGAAGCGAGGTCCGATTCATCTGTGGAAAGGATAATGTGACGTCATTCTAGCGTCATTTCTACGAAATATCACAGAGCTTATATGACGATCATGTGATGCTAAAAATTCATCACCAAAAAAGCAAAAGTGACAAAAACAATTGTTTTCCATCAATTTTATATTGGTATCTTAATATGTTATCTATCATTATATAAAAAGAATAACCTTTTTACAAATATAGAAATATTTTCCCGCCAACATCATTAAATATACCCTATATATAGTAATTGTTGGACAAATCTGAATAGGCAAAACAATCAGTTCATTAATTGTGTAAAGATTTGTTTCTCTTTTGCAAAAAAAAAGGGTTTAAGATTTGTTTCTCTTTTTCCTATTTTTTAGTTTATCAAAATCGTTGTTTGACAATAAATATTTGTTTTTCTTTTTTCTATTTTTAGTATAAATCTATACTAGCTTATCTATTCTGTTACAAAATCTCATTGCATACGTGTTTCAAAAATCTCATTCCTTATCTATACAGATTTGAAAAAATAAAATAAAATAGAAACCAATTCATAATTACTACTAGAAATCCATTATCTACTTTAATAAGCTAATTTTCATCGGTCTAATTACTTATATTTTTACAAATATTATAAGTTAACCATACAAAAAAGTATAATAATAATTTTAAAATGGTGTGTAATCAAATTTTTTTATATTCTCTTATACAAAATAATTTTACATTGTTTGACCCCGAATCTATAATTTATAATTATTAAGTATTGTTTATCCTCCTCTTTAATTTATAATTATTTTTTTCTTCCTCTTTTTAAATAGGATTAATAGTAGTTTCCACTTTCGTCATTGAGTGACTCTAACTCGAGATCTATTTATAATATTATTAATTTAATATTATTCCCGTGCATCGCACGGGGTACACACTAGTCTCACCAATTCATGATGTTAGTATATTTAAATTTTCAAAAGGAACTAATCTTATTTTTTTAAATTATTTTATTCTCTTATTGACATGATTAATAAATTAATTATTTTTCTTTATTACTAAATTAATCAATGAAAAAATTAATTACCATGAGCACGACACGTTCATTTTACCAGTTAAAATCAAACACGCATAATCAATAATTAATTCCTTAGAGGTATCCAGACCAATATTACTTGTGGGACATCAAAGAATACAAATTTCTTGTGTTCAGACCACGTCAACTCAAGGTCGTCTTAGTGGCTAGTGCTATCTGAGATGTCAATACTTGTCTGCTCATCCCAACTTTACTATATGTAATTCAGGTTATATGTATGAATGCATGAATGACAATTTTTCACGTGTCACATTAGGATAAAGAAAAGCACCAATCCATGAAAAGGATTCAAGTTTCCCTATACTAAGCAAATGATGAGTGCACCAAAACCTTGTATCCTTGCAGCATTGTTTTCGGTCCTTCTTTTCATGTCTCTAAAACTAAGCAAATGTATCAACTGCCCTGAAGTTGAAAAGCAATCACTTCTAACCTTCAAGCAATCTCTGCAGGACCCCAAAAACGTGTTTTCTTCTTGGGATGCTAAATTTGATTGTTGCAAGTGGAAAGGTGTTGTTTGCAGCAACTTAACTGGTCAAGTTCTTCAACTCCATCTTCAAGGTAACAGTTTAAGTGGCAAAATAAACTCATCTTTGCTCAACTTGAAGCATTTGAAATATCTTGACCTGAGCGATAACAACTTTCATGAAAATATCCCTTCTTTCATTGGATCACTCACAAGCCTCGAGTACTTGAATCTATCATTTGCTGGATTTTATGGAAATATTCCCCACAATATTGGAAATCTTTCCAATTTGCACGTTTTAAGTTTGGCTGACCATGGGTATTTAGCGCTGGAGTTGGAAGTCAATAGTGTTGAATGGTTGTCGGGACTTTCTCAACTGGAGCACCTCAACATGAATGAAGTGAACCTCAGGAAAGCAACCCACTGGGCACACCAGGTGATCAACAAACTTCCTTCTTTAGTGGAGCTGCATTTTAGTGGATGTAATCTTAATTTGATGGCTCCTCTGAATGATGTTATCAATATCAGCCGTTCTAATTTAGCCACTCTTGATCTCTCCTACAATTCCCTGTCTTATGCCATCATCCCTCCCTGGATTTTTCAACTCAACAACCTTATCTATCTTGATATGAGTAACAACTCATTCCAAGGCCCAATTCCAACAATGAGCAACACCACAAAACTCCAATACATTGATCTCTCTTGGAACTATTTGAATTCGAGCATTCCACAGTGGCTCTACACCTGCAAACACCTCCAGTACCTCGATTTTCGTTTCAATGAACTTTCTGGAAAAATACCAAGAGAAATTACAAACTTGTGTAATATACAGACCTTGAATTTATTGGGTAATAATTTGGGAGGAGAGATATCGGATTCATTTGGAAACATGTCAGATTGCTTCTTACGAACATTGGAATTTTTAGATTTGTCATGGAATCAGCTCTCCGGTCATCTGCCTCCTCAATTTGGAAAATTTAAGCGTCTTCGGTATCTTTACCTTAGAGAAAACTCATTGTCCGGTGTAATTCCAGTTGAATTAGGGAAGTTGGTTTCCCTTGTAAGGTTAGACTTGAGTAGTAATAAATTGATGGGGAACTTACCAGAGAGTATAGGAAACTTGCTTTCTCTTGAAAGGTTATACTTGGATAATAATAAATTGAGGGGGAACTTACCAGAGAGTATTGGGAAACTTGTCAACTTGACTCATCTTTCCATAAAGGATAACATGTTGGAAGGGGTTGTGACTGAAACCCACTTTGCCCATCTCTCAAATTTAAAAATATTGGAAGCCTCTGGAAACCACTTGACTTTGAAAGTCAACCCCAATTGGATTCCACCATTCAAATTAGAGTCGCTATGTCTAGGGTCTTGGGGCTTGGTATCTCCATTTCCGTTATGGCTTGAGACTCAGAAAGAGAGTATCTCCAGTCTGGATTTGTCGTGTACTGGAATCTATGGAAATGTTCCCAGCTGGTTATGGAGTTTGAGTTATCTCAACCTTTCCCATAACCAACTTGACGGAAAGATTTTATCCATTATTAGTGATCGTGGAAATGATGAATATGATGGCCCCTTACATATTTTTGACTTGAGTGCCAACAGGTTTAGTGGTCCACTGCCTCCAGTAATGACGAGTTCATCCTTAGAACTCCATTTCTCCAATAACTCATTTTCCGGAGGTCTGTCAGATTTTCTTTGTGTCAATACATCCAATGTAGGGCTTATAAATTTTGCAGGAAACCATCTTTCTGGAGAGTTACCCGAATGTTTTATCAAATGGCAATCATTGCAAGTGTTGAACTTAGGCAACAACAAATTGTCCGGAAGAATACCGAATTCCATGGGATTTCTTAAAGATTTAGCGTCTTTGAATCTCCGCGGAAACAGTTTCTCTGGACACATTCCTTCTTCATTGCAAAAATGCACGAATCTAATGATGATTGACTTTGGTGATAACAGTCTTGGTGGGGACATACCGAAATGGATTGACACAAGATTTTTCAGTTTGAGATATCTCATTTTGCAGTCCAACAATTTCAGCGGGGAAATTAGTCCATCCATATGCCAGCTCACTTCTCTTCAAGTCTTGCTTCTCTCTAATAACAAACTGTCAGGGAGGCTACCTCAATGCCTCAACAATCTTACCACAATGACCAGTAAAGGGATTTCTGATAGGCCATACTATTCTGTATCCTTCGATTTGGGTAGGCTACGATCTGTTACATATGGAAGAGAATTTCACGAAAGTGTATCAATTGCGACAAAGGGCAGAGAACTCACATACGACGCCACTCTCTTTTTGGTCAAAAGTATTGACCTTTCAAACAACATCCTGTCTGGTGATATCCCAATTGAGATAACAAGTCTGGTGGAACTCCAATCATTGAACCTGTCCCGAAATCGTCTAACGGGATCCATCCCAAACAACATTGGAAACATGAAGAATCTTGTATCTCTTGATTTCTCCAGGAATTCATTATCCGGCAAGATTCCAAGTAGCATCACAACCATGTCTTTTTTGAGTAACCTAAATCTGTCGTATAACAACTTGACGGGGAGAATCCCACAAAGCACCCAAATTGGGAGCTTCAACGAGTCAAGCTTCATCGGCAACAATCTTTGTGGCTTTCCACTAAGTATTTCTTGCAAAAATGATGGTAATGTCCCTGCCCCGACACAGGTGCAGATTCAAGGCCGAAAAAGGAATAAGCAAGAGATTGATTTGTTTTACGTATTCCTATCTTTAGGGTACGCTGTTGGGGTATCAGCTGTCCTCTCTGCATTGTTTTTTAAGAAGAATTGGAGGGAAGCTTATTATGCCTTCTTTCAGAAACTGTGGGACCGTGTTTATGTGTATTTCGTTATCCAATGGAGGAGGCTCATGAGACTGTTGGGTCAAAACCCCTAATGGCTCTGTCAACAAATTATGCATGGACCTCTCTTACGGAGGACTTTAAGCTATAATATCTGTGTGGTAATTTGATTTTAGTCTCTAATGTGTGTGTGTTTTTAAATAAGGTGTTGGGATGTATTATGTTTTTTATTTGATCTTTGACTGCTGTAAGATTTTATATCTAATGATTATTAGTCTTATAATTTACTATCAGTAATTATTATATCTAGCTCTTACTCGCATGATGGTATCAACAATAGCAATATAGGTTTATACAAACCTTTGCAGAATGATTGTTATTATTATTTGCATTCCAAGATAGCATATTGAAATCTAACAGTAACTCTTCGGTTGTGCCCAATTAAATAAAGATGCAAATATTAACCATTTTTCCCTCTATTTTTCTGATGATGAGAAAGTGTCTCTCCTTTTGTATATGCATTTTGTTCCACATTTTCTTCACTGGCATTCATCTACTTGTCTGCTACTTTGTTCTCTACTCTGTCTAGTTTAAAAGTTCTTCTTCTTATTTTGGTTTCCCGAACATTATTTTGTGGATTTTTGACTTGCTAAAAGGGCCGATTGCTTGATCAGCGATTTAGGGTGTGATTGTCTATGAATTCAACTAGTTTTATTTGGTTAGTTTTTTAACTATAGTTAATTTTGAAAAAATATGGTATAGTTAGTTATTAATGGATATATTAAATAATATTTAAATAAAATAATTAAAGTTGATGTGATGTCTAAAAATGATTGGTTGATATTATTTAATTATATTGAGGATAGTAGAGTTGGATTAAAATTCAATTAAATTTGAGTTTTGATTATTTTTTTGGATTGAATTGGTAAACAATCACCTCCTTAGTTGCACGGATAATATTTGTGTACAGTGTACCACAGTTTGAAGGATGAAAACAATTTTTTGTCATAAGAGACTTTTCATTAACAAAGTTGTTCTCTAATCCTCAAACTTTTGCAATTAATATGCAAGTGCCAATAGTTTCGTAGCCTCTGTTCCTCTATGCGCACACTAGACTATAACTGTAACTCCCTTTAAAGAGTTATTTCTACAAAAATTAAATTGCCAAAAATACAGTAATTTCTAAGGTTACTCATGTATATCATTAATGAGTTACAAATAGTTACATTCATTTTTCAATCAAATATTTTGGATCTTTTATATTTTTATGCTTTCTTTATCTTTGATCTTAAATCAGCCCTTTTTTATTATATATTATGCATTCAATAATTTAATATAGAGAAATTATGATTATCTAAGAAAATATAGAAATTTAAAAAAAAAAAAAAAAATAGA